AGGTAACGTCAATTGAGAGAATATTTGGCAATAGAGGACATGATTCATAAACCGTTCTTGTGTTACTCCGTAAATCTATTATCTTTCCCTTTTTTCTTTTTTTTTTTTTTTTTTTTTTTTTTACCTGTGCTCCTCCTGCAGGGTCCAAGTGAGACAAGGCCCACTTCCAGCAAACAGTAAAACAGTATTTCCACAGTAATTATCTCCTTCACCACTTAAGCACTTCATTTTCATTTTATTTTGAAATCTACACTTGTGGTAAAAGTATATAGTAACAATTGATTTGTAAAATGTAAGTGACAGTGGTGTTGCTATAAAAAGGACCAGAATGAAGTGTGCGTCGGGTATACAGTATTAATTAAGGAGTGCTTAACTGTCTCTGTATTTACGAAAGAGTGACATGAAAGATTGTTCCTTGCTCGTTCTGTGGTCTACACTTGACCAGAACATGTCATGACGTTTCAGAACAGTTCCACAGACAAAAGGTTTGCAACTCAAAATTAAAAAATAAAAGACTTGGTCATATGCAACATTTGTATCTGTATCTGTATTCTGTACAATACATAGAAACAGTTTGTGATTTCTTCATAATCCTTTGATAACTGAAAACTTTTACAGAAGAAAGAAGAAGAAACGGAACCCATTTGTTTGTTTTTTTTGTTTTCCCCCCCTTTTTTTCATTTCAGTCTGTTGTAATATGATCTTCCTTCTTTGTTTTCAGTGAAATACACAGTAGCCGCAGTCACTACAACTTGCAGGAATGTTACACCAGCCCAGACACAACTCCAGTTTAGCAGATACGAACAGGAAGAGAATTCAGAACATCAGCGTGATATGGTTACAGTTCAGTTTCCCAAATAAAATAGTTTTTTTTGGATGATCGGTAGTGAGGGTATATATCATACATCCTTCACTTGATTGGCAGGTAGTGGTGCCTCTTTGGGGCCAGTTTGTGTTGTGAACACCAGAGTTTATTATCCTGCTGTACCCTTTGGAAAAGGTGGAAACATCATCCCAGTACGTGTCTTTAAGAGTTAGACAGAGAGACAGACATACAGACAAACAGACAGGCAGCTCCGTTAACCAGGGCTGGGGGCCACTGCGGCCCTGTAGTGGTGGTAGTGGAGACTATATGCTATGATCTGCTAGAGGTCCATATTGGGGAACTTGTAGGGCTACGGTCAATCCAAGTTTCCAAATTAAAGTAACAGGTACGGTAAAATTACAGAATCCCTCCCCCTTCCGTTTTCGTTCCAGGTTTCACGTTCAACTCGTGTTTGATGTTTGCAAAACGTCTTTCAGAACCGCCCTCTCAGTCTGCACCATTGATGACAATACATTCAGTCCCTGCTTTCATTTGACCTGTGATGTCTCAACCATATTGTCATGAGCCAAAGTTAGTGTCGCGCAAAGTACATCAATCCAGGGGCGGGCCAGCTCGGTCTGTCAGTCAACAACACAGAATGTCTTCATTGGACGGTTGAATGTGTGAAAGTGGGCCAGGGAGGGATAGAAGTCTTGATTGGCTCTATAGACTGGTAACCAGGTGAGAAGGGTCTACAGGCGGCTCCTCGGGCGACGAATCGGACTCCTCCTTGTTCCCAGACACCATGTATCCATCGCTGCCACCACGGCCCATGTGGTAGTAGCTCTGCAGCTCGTGAAGGTGATTCCTGGAGCCCAAGTTTGGCATGCTCTTATAATAGACATCATCCAGCTCCGGAGCGGTGGCACTCTTACAGGGCTGCAGCTCTCCGGAGCTGTCTTCCTCTCCGTCTGTTAAACCGTTCATCTGCCCATCTGGGAGGTCCGTCAGCACTGGCATGCTGGTGTAGAGTGAGTCTCTGTGGTTTGGTGAATGCGTGTGCTCATCAGTGTGCTCATTAGTCAGCAGGGGAAAGAAGCTCTCGCTTGTCTCCTGGGGTATGCGACGTGGCCGGGAGAAGCTGTGAGGGGGAGGCGGTGGCGGTGGGTGGCTGTCTGGTGGAGGAGGCCGCGGCGGCAGGAGAGGCGCGTTGGACTCCTCTCTGATAATCTCCAAGCCCAGGTTTTCCTCATGGGGGAAGGCTGCAGGGTTGTCCAGCACCATGGGACTGTTGTCCTCTTTACTGCTGCCCACACACCCACCGACTCCGCTGCTGCTGCTGCTGCTGCTGCCACCTGCCATGCTCCCTGAAAGAAGCAGACAGGAATAATATTACACAGCACATTATACAGCATGTGAGGGCAAATTGCTGATAGTTAATTTTGAACAAGGAGTGGGGTGCTGCTGATAGTGTGCTGACAAGGTGAGGATTTTAGCACCCTGTAGTGAGTGGAGATTTCAGTGTTATCTGGTCCAAAAAGTTATTTCATTTTCTCAAGGGGCTTTACTCAAAATTTGGGAGATTAACAGTGAATCAAATTACTATGTGAAAGGAGAAAGGCATTGCATGAAGCAAAGAGCCTACAGAGCATTGCCACTTGACTCCGTTGGTTGCTGGTCTCTCTAGTTTTACGAAAGGTGTCAGCATCTTTGATCCAATCGTTTGACTTTTCTCAAAATAACTGTTTTGGTTCACTACTCTCACCAGTGTCAGCAGATGGTTGTTTACATGAGAAAAACTACACATACAGTTATCGTCAAATGTATTCATACCCTTCCATTAAAGAAAAGGCAAAATTCACAATAGTCCCTCAAATAACTAGAAACTGAAAAAAAGTAATAATAACTAAAAATGTTCTAAATTATAATTTAGTGAAATAAGACACTGCTTTTGAATTGTGGGTGAAAAGAATAATTAAAAAACAAACAAACAAACAAGAAAAAACACCGTTCCCGGACAAATTAGAGTAGAGAGTTACAGAAAACACTTGATTGCAGTGATTGGCTCAAAGGATTGTTCAACGAAATATTAGTTTATGGTTCCCATCACGCTGTTTGCTTGTTTGTTTTTCAAATATTTCTGTTGAACCACAATTCAAAAGCAATATGATTTTCATGACATTTTTATTCATTTATTACTGCTTTTGTCAATTTCAACTTATTTCAGTGACAGCTGTTTTTTTTCTTCTTCAATGGGAAGGTATGAATAAATTTGAGGACAACTGTAAGCAACATCTGACCAGCAGCAAATGGCAGACATACTAAGTTAGCAACAAGCTCGTGAAAATGGTGGGAAAACATGACTGAGTGAATGCTAACAGTTCTTAGCAGGTGCTAAATGTGTTTTAACAAATCAAAGGTAAAAAGTTGTTACTGATGTTTTGACAGATGTTGTTAAAGCTGCCTCCAAAAGTCCCAAAAAACAAATTTTTGCAGATGTAACACACCTTTGCTATATAACAAAAAAAACAGGTATTCCTTAACTTGCAAAAACAAAAAAGTGGTTACATCCAGTGTTTATTTTTTTCATAAGGATGTCAGGGCCAAGAGTTTTCAGTTAGTTTACTCCTTATTTAAGTAACCCAAGAGCCTCAACATTGGACAGTGAAAGCTTCAGATAATTTTAAACAAACCGTAGTCACCTCCATTGGCCATGCTGCTGTTTACCAGCTTGTTCATCAGGTTGTGATTGCGCTCGGTGGTCGCTCTCTCATGATTGTTGAGGTACGACGGGATGTAGTTGGAGGTGAGCTCCTTGAGGATCTTCTTCTCCAGGGTGGTCTCCTTGTGGTTGCTGTGGGTGCCGTAGCCGCCGCTGCGATCCAGAATCTGGACACAGTCGCTCAGGTACTCGCTGCTGGCCATGCTGTAGTTGTTGGCATGGTTACCATTGAGAGGGAGTGTATCCATAACACTGGAGTCTCTTGCGTTGTTCAGGATGCCCTCTGAGGAATAATAATAAGACTATTTTTCAAAAAAGTACTAATTATTAGCATTCTTAAATAAACTGCAAGTGGATTTCTCAGAAGAAAGATTTTAATTATTATTTCCTATCATCGTGTGTGCTATGAATTGAGGATTTAAAAAAAAAAAAAAAGCAATGGTAATTTTTTATTTTTTTTTGGAAGGAAAAATGCTTGAAGCGACAATAATTCATTTAAGAGAAGCTTCACAAGTACTGTCTGTCCTCAATTACTGCCAGCACTACAGCATTACAAAAAGAAAAGTTCTACTTTCACTGAAAATAATTTGAAAAAAATGTTTTGAAGTGGCACTTAATGTAATTACGTTGCAAGTCATTTTAAGGGCAAACATATTGCATCTCAATTAAAACTCAAATGTGAGTTTACACATTTGATCCACAATGTTTCAAATAAATGCGATTCAGAGGCAGTTCTTGTTTTTTTTCATACTATAGATGTATTGCCTTAAGGAGAGACTTTTTAAAGTGCTACTAGAAAATGAATAAAAAAAGTGTGAAAAAGCAAATGACGAAATCGTATTACATGAAATGACTAATGATTTGGGAGCAAAAAACGTTTTTGCCAAGATTGGAGTAAAAATGTAAAGAAAGAAAAAGAAAATTCATGTTATAAAAGTAGCTGAATATGAAATTGAGCCCATACTTGTGTCTCGGTAAGGTGCTAATGGACAGCATGAGGGAGAAGAGAGAAAAGAGACACAGACGTGAGTTTGTACACTGAGAGAAACACATTTCAGAAACTACAAAATCAACATTTACGCAGTAACTTAAAGCGTGACAACAACTGATTCTGATTCTAGAAATCTGAATCTGCTCTATTATCAACCATCTGCTATCATATAGTTTTACTATTTAACAGAGAGGAAAACATTAAAACGCACAATACAAATTACATTTAGAAAATAGCACATATATAGTTCACATGCAGCATCACGGGCAGGCACATCATACACACATGCAAAGTGACATTCAAAATGAAGCACAGACTGTATAAAATACACCATTCACACAGAAAAGAAGAGACATTTCATGGCTCCCAAGTAGCTTATAAAACCTACAGTGAATATGCAACCAGTAACACAAAGACACATGCACGCATATGTATGCATGTGTATGCATGTGTGTACGTACTGGATGTAGTATATGCATATATTAAGATGATTGATCTTCTCACTTGGGAACCATAACAAGGCTGCATAAACATTTTAAAAAGAAATAACCATGCAGAGAAAGTTGGCGAAGAATTAACTCTAAGCTAACTTTTTAAAGGTTGTATGTTCATAATAGGAACATCAGGCACACCTTGGGTGTTGTACATGCCCACGGCTGGGTTGTTATAGACTGCCGAGTCCCCCAGGAGAGTGTTATAAGGATTGTTAGTACCATGGGGACGAAGGAGAGCATTAGTTATAAGATGATTAGCCATGGCTCCTGGTACAGGCAGATAGAGAGAGAGAGAGGAAGAGCAACAGCCAAGTCGAGAGAGGAAGAGAGAGGAAAAGCAACAGCCAAGTCAAGAGAGAAAAAGAAAGAAGCACTCAAGAGAAAAAAAAAAAAAGGCAGAGGGGAGACAGAGGTTGAAGGAGAGAGCATGTAGCCATTGCAGAGTGGAAGTAAGCAAGAAGGAAAAAAAGAGAGGAAGGGAGAGTGAGATGGAAAGTGAGTGTGTGGAAGAAAGAGGGAGAGAAGAGGACAAGTAAATCAAACAAGCAAACACAGTTTAGGGAGAAAGCCAAGAAAAAGCTTGACAAGTCATTCTTGCAGCCACTGCATACAGGCTGAGGGAGGGAACGGGAGAGAGAGAGACAGACAGAAAGAGAGGGAGACAAAGAGACACTAGCATAGCTTGGAGCAGACTGTGCTGCAGTTCAATACGCTTGAGCAGAGAAGCATGACTACAGGATAGTTAATGGACAAAGGGGCCACAAAAAAGTGTTCTCAGTGCATTTTCTTCCCTGGTGGGAGACAGATCATGTACACATTAAGACAGTGCAAGAAAAAAAAAAAAACAGGACAAATGAGCAGGAGAGCTCCTATCTATTCATCCTCATGTTGTAGTTCAAACTGTATCAACCAGCCTCTGTCACTGGAGAGAAAAACTGAGACATCTGTGTGATTTCTACAGAAACTCAAGATTAAAAAACAATTCTCCTAATGCAACTATACACCGTTCTTGAGCCACCACACCTATACAAACAAGAGTAATGTAAGAAACACACCACTAGTAAGGTACAGTGATGTCATTTCACATGACTAACCGCTGCATGTCAGCACCGTGTGGATCGTCGCCATGATGCATGAATTTTACTTTGTCGTGCTCTTGCTCTTTGGGTTACCAGAGTTTGCTGACTGCTGGAAATATGATATAGTTAATGTTACATAGCTATCTGACTGTGTGGGATCTGATACTATTATAGTTATGTAAACTACCGACATCTAATATTAGGATTTCTTCTTAGCCTTCTTTCTGTTGTCCTTCCTCCTACAATTTTATCTTATCTATATGGGTTTCAAATTCAAATTTAAAGCAACTTTCATTTATATCCAGTGGAAACTCTCTTTATTCGCTGTATAATTACATAGCTAGAGCATTATAAGGGTGTAAAAAATAATGTTTAAAAGGCGAGTAATTAAAAAAATAACAATTGGCCTTACCATTTTTTTTATGCAAATGACAGACAAATTCAAAATATAAACTTGTGATTTCATTATTATAATAATTACAAAAAGATAAAATTACCCACCTAGTAAATATTGCAAAAATAAACACAAACATATGCAACATAATCAGCTTTATTAACTACCTAAAATGTAAAATTATGCCCTTTACTGTAGCTATAACATAAAAGCTGCTTATAAATACAAGTGGCTTATAAACTTGCACTGGACAGCTTCAGTGGGAGATGGGAGAGGAAAGAAAGAAAGAAAGCAAAAAGCCTGGTATACAAATTTGTTGGAATCAAAACAGAACAATTTGAGGAAAAATTAGTTTTGCTTGAACTGAATAATGTATTGTATTTTATGTGTTCGTTATGTTTCTTTAATGTACATTTTTACACATACCTAATGCTAAAATGTTCATCCGAAAAGTAACTCTATAAAATCTATACAATCTCCCTCAGAAATATAGTTAAGTAGAAGTACAATGTCGTATAAAATTCAAATACTTAAGAAGAGAAGCCTACAAGTACCTAAAAAAAACTCCATTTACTATTTCTGCAGCATAATATAGTGGCAAGAGAATGACTGTACAACCCATCTTCATTATTGTAAATCCTCAATGGCATTATTAACATTTTTAGCTAACGCTCAGTTTAGTGGTCATTTGCATAAAACTTGCAAATGCACATCAAGTTACCATTATCTTTAATTATTTGGATCAATTAGATAAGTCCTTTCAAATGTGTCTCAGTCAGTTCAATGTGAATGTAGACTGCTGCGGGTCACGACTTACATGCTGGTTGATCACGTGACATGACAAGTCTTAGGAACTATACTTTACCTCTCTTTAATTCAATTCGACCTGCCCACTTTCTGGAGGCTTGCGTGAGATCTTTAGCTGCCACTGAGGAAATAAATTCATCTGAATACTAGTTCATAGCATATCTCTGTGCTTTTACTGCAGGAATAAACCGACGAGATAATTTGTCAGCCAAGAATTACGGCTGTCACAGATGACGCGCTAAAAAAGACAAGTCTGAAAAAGCCAACTTTCAGAGAAAATGGCTGTGATTGCTTCGAGAACCTGACAGGAGAATGTGAGTCTGTGGCTGATACAATACCGAGACAGGATAAACAGATGGAGGTTTTTAGAATTTTACATATTTAATGTATAACTCGTTGGAGAAAAAAAAAAGGGCTTCAGCGATGAGGACTGGACAAATGACAGTTTTATCTTATGCTCGAGTCTTTTTCTTCATAGCAGATGCCATAAAAGTGAGGTTGACTTATAATCGGTCCTATATTTGGTCCAATCCAATTCCATCTCACCTCACTTGTATGACCTTTCTTTGGTCTGTCATTGTCAGCTGCTGCAGCCATTACTGGGGAAACTGTACACAACTGGCAAAACTCACATGTTCAGGCATTTCCAAAAAAACAGTGTGAGCTTACTGACACTGTCATGGCTTCAGAGAACTATTTCCTACTGATAACACTGATGTTGCTTGACAGACAAGAGAAAGCACATATTTTGATTTTGCAAAATTAGCCTTTTCTTTTTTTTAACATCATGCAAAAACAAAAAATGGCGGAATTAGTTCAATACATCAACCACGGCTAACAAGATTTGCGGTGGTATTTCACTTAAAGAAGATACCACAACATCTTAGTATGTAACTGTGCATACCTTCCTTTATGTAAGCTAGTTACAAACTACCAATAGAACGAAAGCTATCCCCAAATGTGAGTGTTTTTAAATCCAGGTTAAAAACTCTTCTTTTCTCTTATGCTTATCATTGAGATTTCTAAAAGTATTTTTAATTCAGATTTTATCACATTCTAGCCCTGAAACTTGATGAAGAGACCATTAGAGGGGTTGATCTTGTCTTTTTAGTTTGGTTCTGTTTCTGTCTTTATATTTTATTTTATTTTGTTTGGTTCTATTGCTATCTTTATCTTTCTATTTATTTTTAGATATTTTGTTCTTTTTAACTGCTTTTAATGTTGCACTGTTAATCATGCAAAGCACATTGAGTTGCCTTGTGTATGAAATTTGCTCTATAAAGAAAGCTGCCTTGCCTTGCCTGCCTAGTTTCCTCCCAAGATGTCTCTCTTTCACTTAGAAGGCTGGCTCTTGCAGAGTCATGGAACTTGGTTTTATTTGGTTTGGGTTGATTATGTTGAGTTTATCCTCTGTTTAAACCACATGTAGTTTTAGGCTTACACCTGATCATGTTCTGTTTGGCATATTTTTGACTTATCCCTAATAAATTGTTGGCTTACATAAATTGTTACTGTGCGGCTCCCCCCCCCCCTCCTTTACTGAGGGCCGATCGAGCCAGGCATAACACTCTCTCCAAAGTTCAACAAGTCAATCTCGTATCTGACTATCCAATTTATTCCATTCCACCATTATTCACTAAGTCGCAGCATGTAGTCGTTTGAAAATCTACTAGCTAAGTAGCTCTGTGCAGCATACGCGCTTTAAAGTGTGCGGGGAGGAGGAGGCGGGGGTGTCTTAAGCCCTGCCTCACTAAGTGTGTGATAATTCAAGCGCTGACACACACCGTGTCTGCTTTAGTATCAATCTGTCATGCTAACAGCTTATTAGCGGCCCGAAGAAAGCAAGGGGCCACACCTCAACCTAGAGACTAACAAATGGCAGCGTGCGTATCAGCGTGTGTGTGTGTGTGTGTGTGTGTGTGTGTGTGTGTGTGTGTGTGTCAAACTGACTGGCCATTTGGGTGTCTATGCCCTCATTACCCTAGGCCTCAGACAGCCACACTCATGGATTCCAATCCTACAGTCCATTACAGTGTCTTACTCTGGAGGGACAGCGACGGACAGCTCTGAATACAGTGGAAATACACTGAACTAAGCCTAATACTCACTTAAAAGCTTTGGCAACCACCGTAACTATAATATAATAACACAAGCGAGGCTGTACATACAAATTCTCAGGTGAAATACCCCGCAGTGTTTTGCTGTCCTTGACTGTAAAATTCTAGCAATGTGCAGCAGCATAAACTACACTACATCCAGCTAATAATTATTACTATATTGTAATCCTGCATTACTTACTTATCATAAAGGTAATGCTGGTGTTCGGCTCAGGGCTTGAACACACGCCGAAATGATTTATAATGCGTCAAAACACATCTAACCTTGGAAAAAGAGGTACAGAAGAAGCTTTGTATTTTTGTAGTGGGAACAAAAACCGGTTGATGTCTCAGTTTTGACAAGCGTGTGCCCCTACCTCTCCTTCCTGTAAAGTCATCTTTGAAGCAGCAGAAAGTAGCAAGCGATATTTACACTCTATTCTGCTAATCTTCCCCCTCTTCAAGAACACAATGCCATTATCAGAAGTTTGGACTCCTACCACTTTGCTAAATGAAAGCGTATGCTGCCTGAGCCTCCTGCTATTAATAAAGTAGATATGGTGACAGTGATGAGGATGCAAATGGTAGGTATCCCGTGGTTACCTCTGTTGAGCGTGGCAGAGCTGTTGATGTCTCCAGTGATGAAGGAGGACTCCTGTTTTCTCACAGTGTCATTCCACATCCGCCTGATGCGACTCTACACACAGGAGAGAAAAAAGCGAGAGAGAGAGAGAGAGAGAGAGAAACAGATAGAGAGGAAGGTAAAGGAGGTATGGGCGAAGAACAAAAAGAGGTAGCGATGATGAAGGGGAAAAGAAATAAAAGGAAGGAACAAGTCAAGGGAGAAAAGACGTGACAACAAAAGAGTGGGGGAAAAAAATAAAATATGGTAAGAAACATAACACATAGGATATGATGTGCAAAAGAACGGCAAATTAGTGCAGGAGAGGCAGTAAAGGAAAAAAAAGCAAAGCAACAACCGACAAGAGAGGAACAGGTAGGAAAAAATAATCATGCATCAGTGTCAGTTATACTCCCTGTGTGTCAGCAACATCATCTGTGTAAGTCAGGGTTTGGGTTATCTCACTTTCAACAAGAAAAAAAAAAACTACAGTCTGTAAATGCAATTAATGGTATAAATGGTAAAATCTGCCTATGACAATAGAAGTTGAAAGCGAAATGTGATAACCCAAAACCCTCATGGCGTGCTCTGGCCTCACCTGAGAGTCTGCTGTGCTGTAGCGTCCAGGTGTGCAGGCAGGTAAGCTCACCTGTGAGCCTGTGGAGTAGCGGCCCGGGGTCCGTGACGTGGTGGTCTTACTGGAGGAGGAGATGGACGTCTCCACGCTCTTGCCGCTGCAGCAGTGAGTGCGCAGACATTTGCCGTACTCTTTGCGCACCTGGGTGGGGGAGTTACACACAGACATGCACACATTCAAGCAGCGTGCACAAAGGAGGAGGAATTGACTGATGTTCCACTTTAACCTTGCACATTATGAAGCATATTTTTAAGATTACATACCAAGAAAAAAAGACAGACAATCTCTTCTTTTACTCAAATCCCTTGCGCAAACACTAAGTCCATAAAATTTCTACTTTTAAAAGATTTACTGCATAAACTTTCCAGCCGTCAACATCCGCCCCGAATACCACACATCCATCTGAAATGGACATATTCCTTGGAGAGATATACGATGCACTTGTACACACAGAACATCTGCATTTAGATCCCAATCAAGTTAGAACAAATAGAATTGTAATTGCTTTTTAACAAGCTTGTTGGACTGGCAGACGTCTATTGCCACATGCTCTGTTTGAACAGCTGTGTGCTGAGTTACTCCATGCATCTTGGAAGAAATCATGTTGGGCCGCAGCCAAAGAAAACCTCAGCTCTGTTCTGAGGACATCTCTCTGGATACCTGATCCCGTGGCCTTACACATACCTAAGCACCGAGTACACACAGACACACACACATACACACTGCACTTGTTTACCGGTCATACTCTTAAGACTAAAAAAACTCTCTAAGGGATTGCAGCCAGATGAGAGTATTAAGCATTTGATGAATTTTCTTTCCATACTCCTCTTCTGCACTCCCAGGCACTGACAATGTGTGGGAGACTCTGCAAAAATATCGGCGGATGTGTAGGCTCTTCCTGGAAGCAACACGTAACTCAAATATGAGAAGTGATACATATGTACTCACAAATGCTAATAATCCTTTAAGGCACGCCAAAACCAAAACATATATAAAAGCAGTCGGCTTTTTAAAAATGAAAGGATTACTTGAAAGGGAGCTGTGTGCTAATGTAAGCAAGGCTGATATATTAAATCACAGAAATCCTGAGAGGAGTGTATCTGTAACCCACTGTCACTCACACATTAAAACAAACGTATATTTTCTCTTCTTGTGTCCAATTGTAAAAGAAAAAAATTTGAGCTGAATTTTTGTCAATATTTGACAAGTTATTTTAGGTGTGATGACCCTGCATGATGATGAAAAACCTTCTCTGCTGCTGGGTTCAGACAGTCATGATGTAAGACTAGCAGCTCAGTGTGTTACCTGCTGCCACAAGGCAAGACAGACAGTGAAAGAGAGGAAGAGAGAGAAAGTGGTGTGAGAAAGCGAGAATGAAAAAGTGAGAGAATTGAGCAGCCAGGAGGGATACTGAATGACCAATCAAACCTGTGACAGCTCCACAGATATTTTTGGTGTCCCTGCTGATCGTTTGCTAGCATGTTCGTGTGCCTGTGTGTGTTTGTACTTGTCCGTCCGTCACACAGTCTATTTGTCTCTAGCTTCGTCTCGGTGTGACTCGCTCACCTTTTTCTGCAGTATGCAGTGGAAGATGAAGATGAACATGCCCTGCAGAGAGTTGAAGATGGTGAAAAGGTAGGCCATGATCACGGTGCTCTCGTTGATGTACATTAGGCCGAAAGCCCAGGTGAGACCCAGCAGACACAGCAGGGCTATGGCCCCGATCACCCAAGACCTACATGAGAAATAACTGAAAATTAGAAATGCTCAGTAAATTACTGTATGTCCTTATCAATTAAAATTCATACATGGGAAGTTTGTCTTTTCTCTGGATCGGAAAAGTTATTGAGCCAAAGGCTGACGCACGAGGGACCACGGGGAAGGAGAAAGAGGTTAGAGAAGGTTCATTCGGAGCGCCAACACTGTAGGAGAGGGATGGAGAAAACAGTGGGGGTTCAGCTTAAAGGAATTATACCTTGACAAAAAAAGAGGGAGAAAAGAGAGTGAGAGTAGATTTGCTCATTTAGATACTATCTCAAAAAAGGGAGGGGAGGTTATGAGCAAGCTGACGTCACCAACTAGTATCAAAAAAGGACCATGGCATACTTTGTCCAAGTTACAGCCAAACTCCAGCAGTCAATGGCAGGAGGTACAAAACATTTTCGCAGGTAGAAGTGGGTCCTGAAGTCAGTTAGTGCACTTGTGATAATAGCAGTTTAATGGAATGAAATTTAATAAAAGTTTTCAGGACTGTGAACTTTTATTTCAAATAAAAGCTATGCAGAAGTGAGTCATAAAGGCCAAATGTCATAGAAATTTGGTCATGTTGAAGCATGTGTATGCATTGTAAGTCCTTGCCTGGGTGTGTGTGTGTGTGTGTGTGTGTGTGTGTCCATGTGAGTGGCTTCACTGGGCAGTAAGTAGAGGGACATTACAGCCATTATAAATGACATTTCCCACTAAAGGTCACAGTTTTGGGCCTGCCACAGCCGAGATGATGGCTGTTAATTTGATTGGCTGACTGGGCAGTGATCACCTCTAATGCGAAGGAGAGAGACAAAGAAAGTGGGCAAGGAAAGATAGAGGAGGGATGTGGGAGAGAAGAACACACAGGGAGAGATATTAGGAGAGTCATGAGGAAGGAAGAGAGACAGAGGAGGAGAGTAAGCGAGTGAGACTGAGGTGATTGATTCGATGTTGCCCTCTGTGGCACCATTCAGGCGAGACAGAACCTCCAATAAAGCTCGTCTGACGACCCTCTTCAATAAAGGGTACACTCATCTCTTTCTTTTCCATCCCGCCATTTCACCTCTCCCTCCAGTGCTCCCTTGAGTCATAGTTTCTCTCTCAGCTCTGTTTCCCTGAATTCACATATCGCCATTATAATATTTCAATAGCACACTGGGTCTATAGGTCAGAGGACCTCACAAATCTCACATGAACAAGAAATCCATTTTACAAGGCAGGTTAATGGTTAATTTAGGAATATGCATGAACTCTAGGGCGGCTTCTACAGGCAAATAAGACAACAAGCGAACCAAGCAAAATGTCTCTAGGAACATCTGATTGGAGTGAGGCCTTACCAGAGCCAATCCACAACAAAGATAACTTATGATGGCTTGGAGTTAAAGAGACAAAGAAAAACAAAAGGAAGAAAAAATAAGACAAAAAAAAAGGGCATGATGGTGATTAACGAGTAAATGAACCACAATAAGACATGACTAATGAAGTGAAATAGATTAAAATCTAGCCAGGCTTCACTGTGTTCAGAAACACTAAGGAAAATCATTAAAATGGAATAATAAAATAAAATATATCCAAAAGCATCATATTTTAAATTGTTCTTTGATTTTCATCTTTCATTAGGCTTTTTCATTACACTCCCCTGAACTACTCTGAAGCAAAGATCCGCTGGTTTTGCCTTTATTTCTGAAATATTTCCCACTTGAAGTCCTACTTTAAAAACTGCTGTCATAAAGAATACACTGGCAATAATATTTAAATGATAACCCCAGAAACAAGACAGCCATTCTATGATTATAAATTCTGAGCTCAGTAAGGCATTCAGCTCTGAGCCGTGGCATATTGTTTGAATTAGACTGAGCCTTTTTGTCGTGAGCTGGACTGGAACAAGAAATAACAAAATCCCGATTAGTTAGCTCGGTAGACAGACTTTCAGTATTCTATGGAAATGAAGTCATATTTCAGTGACATTCTCTAAGGGGTGCATGAGTAATGGGGACATGACTGAGAATAATGATATGATGAATTCAGTCCGTAGCATCTCAAAATGATGTGAGATAAAGGTGAAATATGCTTCAAGAGACATGGTAGTTGAAAGAAAAGGCTGATGGACATGAGCTTTAAGGAATGGCTCAACATTCTGGGGAATATGCTCACTCATTTTCATCCAGAGAGTTAGATGAGAAGATTGATGCTGCTGTCATGCCAGCGGCAGCTAGTTTGCAACAAAATCCTTCTGCTGAATCCACACAAGAAACATGATTTGAGAAGATGAAATTAGATTGTGTGCAGGATTACTGCTATTTCATAGCTAAGACAATAGTAATCCTAGGAAGTAGTACGCTTGCATCATCCCCATAGAATTGCAATTTGTTATTTTTACACGAGCATACATGTATGAATTAAACAAACAAAAAAATATATAATGTCCCAACTTGCAAAAGCGCTTTTGAGGGGCTTGTATGCATATTTTACTACCATTGGACAGATCCAGTATCCAGTCTTCTGATGCTAAGCTAACCTTGCCGTCTACAGGTTCCAGCTAAACACTGGATTTACTGTACAAACATGAGAGTGGTATCAACTTTCTCCTCTTGGCTAAGAACATTTCCCAAAATGTCAAACAATTCCTTGAGCTTACTTCACACAAGCATGCATAATCACTTTTGCTTTCAAAACCAGGGCTCTCTGGTGCAGTGGCAGGAAGGTATGTAGAAAAAGGACTTACTTGATGTTGTCCAGACACCCGGAGTCTGGTTTGAGAATGGCTGTGTGATGGAACATCTTATAAAGAGCGATACCGAGGAAGATAACGTTCAGCTGAAACACACCGACAAACACGCACACACACATACAAGTTAATATTCTGCAGCAATGAGACTAATTAAAGACACAATGTCACTACAGCAATTCGCTCGCACACAGTGCATATCATTTCATTTTCCCTTCCAGCCGTAATTGGCTTGGAGACACAGTATCAGCCCACGATCAACAACCCTTTATGTGCTGAAAATATAGCAGCTTGAGCATCAGGGAAAATACAGCAGTCATTACATCCATTTAGGATCATTGTTATAGTGGAAACCCAATTCTCACAGATGCACTCTTTTCTATTGGCTTGCTAATGCACAGATAGGGTGTTTCAATAATGACTGCCTGGACTGTTGCACTGGGTCTCAGAGACTGTATATGCTACCAGTGGGCGTAGTGTCATAACAGGGCAGTCTCACCTGTGCTACTCCCCGCTTGCAGCTCCACTTAGATCAGTGATAGCCTGTCTGACATTTCTAAAATGAGTACAGAGCATCAGTGTGCAGGCAACTGGGAACATGTCCCATTGCTTTCATTCTCACTGCTTTTTATATATATATATATTTTATTTATTTATTTATTTTCTTTTTCTTTTTCCGTCTGTGTGCCTGCCGAGTCGACTAACTCTATTTCTGTCTCTGTTTACTTGTTCAGGGTAGGATGCTTGTTCTTGCTCCTCAAAACACTTTGCTGACTGGTGAAACATCACTCATTGGCATTGCTCGATAAAAGGACAAGGAAAATGGTCAAAGTAGCAGCCTGTGTTTCCCCGTTTTCTGCTCGATTTGGCAGCATTGTAATAAAATTGCTACAGTGGGCCAGCAGGAAAACAGCACTTGGATTGTTAAATAAGTGCCTGATAGCGGTATAACTTTGCGGGGCGCTTATCGTAATCTTTGTGACGCACAACGGTTTGTGCTCTATGTCCTCTTCAAAGATTTCCAGCTTGTAGGAATATGTGCCCACTTGAGAGTTAATCCACGAGTGGGAATTATTAAGTTGACATATAAAGTTCCCTTCCGCTTCTACTTACACCGCTGAGGGGCTCAGGTGAACCTTGCAGGAGATTAACAAGCACCTTAACGTAACCCGTCGTTCCCGCGTGAACATGTGGCAGCAATTGGAGTCTGTACATGCGGTGCTGTGTCAAATGTGTGCGAGTGGGCGTGTGTGTGTGCGTATCTCACCATAATGATGAGCGTTGCCGGACCTATGAAGCTCCAGATGAAGTATGTATCCAAACGCAGCCAGCACCTAGAGACAGGGAGATAGTGAAAGAGTGAGTTACATGGAAAAAACATCATGCATGAGAAACACTGGAAAAGAAGAACAGGAGGGTAGAAAGACGTGTAGGGATTAAAAATGTGCTCAGAAGGATGTGAGGTGGCAAAGATTTACCATGAGAAGACAGGGCATGCATTACAGCTACGCACACATGCACATGGAGGGGGGAAGGGTGGATAGAAAAACACATACATTACATGACATACAGTAAATCAAACGCATCACAACAGATGGAGGACAAAGGAAATTGGAGGGGATGAAAAAGTGAAAGATGTAAAGGATGGTAAGAAAGGTGTTACAAGATGGAAGAAAACCGACTATATGCACACCTCAGACATACATCACACGGGGGAGAGGGAGGGGCGACTGCGAGGGATGAGCACCTGTGACAAATAAACCTTTACTTCCCCTTAGGGCACAGATATATGACACGGCCACGTCCTGCAGGTCCCAAAAATATGACATGACTGTGTTCATTTGAATACTGAGTTATGGATGCAGGCCTCGTATCAGGCTATTTATGGAGTCTGGGAATGGCTTTGCCGAGGTTAAAGGAGAGAGGAGGGAACACATACACACATAATATATGCACACAAACACGCATCTACATATTCAGAGACAGAAGACATGCATGGACGCTTACAACCACACACACTAATACACACCCACAAGGCAGTAATTTCTGACCACGAGGTTAGCGTTGGTAGTAAAAGATATACTGCTGTATGTGAAATTATATTACTCCGAAACATCTTCACTCATCAACAGCAGCAAGCAGAGGGTAGAGGGAAAAAAAGAACATCCCAGAGTGCCCTCCACTGAGGTCAGACCCAACTGGTTGCGAAAAAAAAAAAAAAAAAGGTGCCAGAGAAAAACCACTGGAGCAAAATGGCCAACTGATTCATGACCAGCTGCTTTTGAATTATTAATCTTTCAATTTCCACCGCATTAGAGAGCCCTCCATTATGGGCCCCTGACTGTGTCACAGTATCCTCCATTAGGGCTCCTTTGCTAAGTCATAGCCACCTTCATTATGGGTGGCGAATGAGACTCAGTGCCACTGGCTAATATGGGGAAGAATAAGGTGCATTACGTGACAAGGTGACACAGCAGGGACTGGCGGATGATATTTTCAGAGGTTTTGTCTTAATGTGTTATGTCAAAAATGATAAGCAGTGTCATTTCCGAGGCTCGACTGATGAATGAGTCGTATAAGTTAATTTCTGCATTAATGAAAAGTACTTTGCAGTGAAAATAGTTGTGTCGATTACTTTTCAAACCCACAAGGCCCATGGGGCATGGGGGCCATTAAAAATGAGAAAGTAAATTGTTTGGGTGCAGGATTATCAGGATTGGCATCATTTTACAAATTTAAGTGTAAAACCATTGTCTCAAGGCTTGTGCAAGATTCTGCTGGCTACTGGCATGCAGTCTGATTATTTATCCAGAGCTTTGCATTCACTCTCATGTTTTAATGATCATCCCGCAATGAAATATTGATCTAAGCGACATGAGGACTGCTGTGACTTCATGGTTAAATATTGCTAAACTCAACCCCTTTGCTGGTCGTCAAACTTCAATGCGGTGATGCTAGAAGAAAGCTGCCATGTCTAAACTGCAAAAGGTTGCAGCGAATGTGAGCATCTGAGCATGTGAATCATTTACCGGTGCTATAGCGTCCTTGTCGTTTTTTTTTTTTTTTTTTTCGCTTTCTACATGGAGCCTCTCATTTATAAACAATTGAGGAGAAGAGATTCTTTCTAATCCAAGTCTACGTTCAAGGTCCACAATGAAGTCATACTGTCACAGAATGGAGGGCAGGTCATGGACACATACAGTGCACCCTATAGAGTACATCATATGTGCATTACGCATTTAATATGCATACACTGGCATATGAATAAAATGTTGACCTCTGCTCAGAGTCACAGGATGAATGGAATGGACAGGTCACGCAAGTAAAACTGTATTACGTTCACTCCTGTGTATTTGCACGTTGCCTATAATGCATATATGTACTTCAATATGAATGAGATGCTGGCTACCTTTTCTTGTATTCACCCTGTGTCTAAGGTTAAACAAGTCAAGCATGCATGAATACGTTATCTTGTGTTTTTAATGTATGTCCTCATCCTCCACTAGTCTGCATTTCCTCCGGAGAGGCCAGCTTTATTTTTAACACACGCAAGTGCAAACCAGTATGGCTCTGTGCACACCCTGACAGATTATTCCATCACTCTCTTCCTCATCCCTCCATTCTCACTCTTAAAACCAGTCTTTTTTTCCCTCAGTCTGCTCCACTGTACACCCCCTCCTTCTATCCCGCCTGTTAAATCCTTCCATATTCACACATTGTCGCTGCTGTGCTCATGCAGGCGCTCTGTGGTGCATCCTGCCCTGCTTGTCCCCATACTTCCCTCCTCCTCTCCATCCTTCTCTGCCTCTCTCTCCCTCCTCAGCCTCTCTGTATTGACTCTTGAGAAGTGCCACAGCTTGTAGAGTCCACTGTGGCAGACGCAGCCAAAATGACAGCAGGCACTCCAGCCTCCCTCCCTGTCCTCCCTTGCCCTGTCATCCATCCTTTCTTTACGCTATGCAATTTTTTATTTATTTATTTTTAACCAAACTCCTTACACTCGATCGGTGCCATAGCTCCTGTAGTCCACCGCAGCAGAGACGGCCACTATGACAGCAGGTACTCCATATCCTGCCAGGTAGAAGTACTTAGTCCTGGAGTGTTCGCTCTCAAACACCTCTACCAGCATGATGTAGAGCTGCACCCCTTCCAGGAACATCCAGGTGAACGCTGCCAAGAAGAAGAAATGGAGCAAGGCCGCAAAGACTGCACAGACAATCTGGTGAGGAAAGGAAAAGATTGAGAGGATTTAAAAGTACAGTAGCGCTAAAAAAAAACAGACTCACATAAAAAATGTCAGGAAATGCCTAATCTGGTGGACATTTGCACTGATTAGTTAGAAAGCAGAAGAACGATTGCAAATATTGCAGGCGATAAGGTTATGAGTCAGATTTAGAAAGTAATAATTTATCATATTCACATAAGGAAGAAAATGTGAGGGATTAAAAATTGGACTGCAACACTGGAATAGACAGGAGACCGAGAGGATAAGGCAAATGGAAATAGAATGAACTCCCAATCACAGTGTACTATAACAGCAATTTCAGGTGACAGAGAGACTCAAAATCACTTTGAGATAGAAGTATTAGTTGGGCCTCCTTCACACTTTACTCACTGTCTACAATCTACAAGTCATCTGAGAAGATAAATGAGAAAATATAAGTGACAAGTTGGTGCTGCAGCCTGTGCTGATTGACCACATTTCAAACAGAAGTAGCAAAGCACTTTCAAAGGGGGCTGAGAAAAAAAAGGAGGGGGAGTTGGGTTGGTGAGGAGGGTGAATTACTTGGCAACACTGTTGAAAATACAATATGATTTTTTGTCAATGCCAAGGATGAACAAAATAAGTGGAACTGCTGCAAAAATGACTCAGCAACTTGGTGTGAAAGAGACAAAGCACGCATAAAATGTGACAGATTTTAGAGCTCGGAAAAAGGCAGGAGTAACTTCAGTTTGGATACTGAATAGTTGGGGCAAAATACAGTTTTTATGCCTTTCCTCGAGCCGAACCGTATGTTTTGAGTGAACCACATAATCAAAATCCTGCACCTGTTGTTCATTTAGTTTCGTGTGGAATGGTAATTATCAAATGTCAAATAAAAAATTTAACACTTGTACCCACCTGTACCAACCCCGTGGTTATACATTCATGTTGAAAGTGAGTAAATGGATTCTAAATTACATTGTTAGTGGCCAATGAATAGTGACGGATGAAAGGGATGTAAAAGAGTGAGGAAAGTAGATGATAACATGCTTAGAAAAGCCTGTGAGAGACTCTCCTGGATGTGGTGGGGGAAAAAAAAGAAGAAGAGAAAAACAGAGCAGCGAAGGATGAGGAGTAAGAAAATGAAAGAGGGGTATCACACCTAAAACCACATTAACAATTTAGGCAATAGGATGGGAAGAAAAGAGGGGTGCTTAAGAAAAGAAGGCAAAGAAAGAATGAGCGGTGAGACTTGGCCCGTCAGGTTCATGGCAATGTTCTAATTTAAAGAGTCACTCCTAAATCATTGAATGGAAGAGCTAACAGACAGACTTTTATAATGGAGGGGTTTGCAGTGAGAGACAATTACCTAATGTCTGAGAGACAATGAGTTTAGGGGGCGAGGGAGTCACTCATTTCCATTTCTAATGATCACACAGTGCAGCTTTCACACACATGCACGTACACACACACACACAGGTAAAAAAGTGGCTGCTTATGCAAAGTCATTTAGTTTTCCTGCTGGAATTACTGGCTTAACCGGCTGCAAGCTAAGTGACGCTGAAGATGTTAATGGAGGTCACAAATAGTCACCGGTAATTAACGGGAGAAACGGCGCACACAAATATAGCGGCACACATACATACAAAGAAACATGATCCCTCCAACACAAACACACGCACACCCACACCCACACGCATGCGAGCGCTCACAAAGAGAAATACCCGAGCATCACAGTCAAAACACACATTCCATCAAATTTGCTTTGTCTCTTCATTTGCAATGAGAATGTTGTCTCGCTGAACGCTCAGCAGAATGCGAAGGCCTGAGGCTGTTCTAAGTCTTCTTGAATACTATGGGGAAGATAAAGGATACAGCCTTGAGCTCTTCCTCCCAAAGAGACGTACAATTCGCAATGGTTCAAACAACTAACACACAAAACACATGGGTTACCTAGTGCCAAGATGTCTACAGAGTCTCAACCTGGATTGTGCGCACACACACACGCACACACACACACAGACACACAAACAAACACACACAAAGGTTTCCCTCATGTTGATTATTATTTGTGTGACTTTGTGCAGTGAAAATAAAGCTGAATATCTCATCTCAGAATCTGTCCCATAAGATTTTTTGTGCAAATGCTTGCAGGTTTCAAGTCCTAATCCATGACTGGTGTATTGAATGCAGAACATATGGATTATACAGCAGAGGCTATGATTGGAATGCAGACCATGTGGACCCTGATGGCTGAGCCAAAACGGCACTGTAAAGCATTAGGGATAGAGCTTGATATTTGTGGCATCAGGGATATGTAAAAATCGCTCAAAAAAATTAGAGCACAGTGATTTTTTTTTAAAAAACCCTTCACACTGTCAGGGAGCATTACTGTGACCAGTGTAGTTGATGCTGCACTTGTTGTTCTAAAAAATACTCATCTCTATTCCACATGTAAACACTCGTATTTATACTTGACATACATATTGTGTTTAAATAAAAGCACATTTGACAAATGTACTAATATGAGCAATTACTAAAATTAGTAAATTACTTACTTAGTAATTACTTCAGTTTAGACAAGTATCATGGTTACAGAAAGCAGTATCATTGTATATATGTATTATATTAAAATAACAAAGCATTTTCAACCATAAATCATCGCACATCGCTAACAACTGCTTTGCCCATAGAACTATAAAGTATGCTGGATTAATTTTACATAAACTAATAACTGAATCTCAAGAAAAAGAATCATTGAATTGTATTAGATAAAAAACCCAACAATGGAATGGATGTAAACATACAGTACTTGACCTGATCTGACCCCGCTCATGAGCAGTTTGCAAAATGGTATTCAGTAATGCTCAAGTACTATATTGTATATATTTTATTGGTAACATCTATATTGCAAACTCAATTTCTGAGGTACTTGACAATGATTGTGTAACGTAAACTGTGTATGAGGAAGTCAAATAAAGAAAACAAGTGATACCACTTTGCCAACACATTCAGAATCAATATTGAGAGTAACTACTTCTAAAGTCCACTTTCTGTTAAGCCCAGAGGTCTGTATTTCACTTTGTATTCATGTGAGGTAATGCTACTGTTTAGCAGTGATGCGTGCAGACTGAAGTCTTAGTTTAGGTCCCGCAGCACTCTGATATGAATGGTCAAATGCAGGTTGAACTCATATTCATAAATCTGCCTCATATGGGCTTTGTTTGTGAAAGCTTTATTAAACATCCACCTCACAGCTGACGGGATTCACTGGCAAAAGAGAAAGACTGCAGCTAGTGTAGCCTGAGGGGGGAAAATGACAAATCCAACTGAAGACTGAAGCCCAACATTGACATCATCAAAGCTAATACAAAGCTAATATATAAGCTTTAACACATTGTGTGGCAGGTCTGTGTAAAGTGCACTTTTCGCTGCGAATCAGTTTTTTGACTGTTGACTTGAATACTTGCCTTCAAATAAGTCCAACAATCTAACTCAGTCTTGGTCTGCTTTGATTTATAATTAGCTGCAAATAGCAATGCTAACTAATCTGATGTAGTGTCTAGCACTCAATATCGTAATGATGGCATGAAAAGTGAGCATGTGCAGTAAAGACAATGCCAGCAAATCCCTTCACAATTTACGAGAGAGAGAGAGAGAAAAAAAAGTTGCATAATCCAACAGGGTTTGAAGACAAAGATACGGTTTGTACAACAAACACCCAGAGAAATGTCTGTTCTTGATTTATTCTAGGAACAAAGCATGTACCAAATCTGCTGTTTCTTATTCATTGCTGTAATGTGGTCAACCACTGACAGGGAGTAAGTAAACATTTCACGATGTAGTTTGCCAGGAATGCAGTGCGATGAGTGGTATTGGACAGTTACGCCAAGCCTGTGGCATGAGTAAAAAGGACCAATTTGAAATGAAGCCCATAAGCAGAATATTTGTTTTTATTTATCTATTGTAGTCCATTCTGCTATTTTTTATTCATGATGGGCTTCTTCTAGCTTATAGTCGAAGCAATATGTATGCACATATGCTACACATTACGCATAAACACACACAAAAAGAAAACTTCTTACCGGTTGATCGGCTTTGTTGATCCCGACCAGAAACAATGACTCAGCGATGAACAGGCTGATGCAGAGGTTCTTGTGGATTGTGTTGCGGTCGCTCTGCAGCCCTCGGAAGAAGCAAAAGGTGAAGATGCAGATAAGGAGGCAGACCAGCGACAAGAGGATCCCCACCCATGTGATGACGTCCAGCAGCACGTCGTGCATGCTCTCTGGTTTCTGTGACAAGAGCAAGAAAAGAGAGACAAGAGTGGATAAGTTCATAATAATTGAATTTACATCCTCTATAGCTCTTTAAAGTCTTGGTTTGCTAAAAACATACATGAGTCACTGTTGTAAGATGAAACATACTGTAGGCGCACATAGACAGACAACCCAACCGCTGTCCCTGACTGATGTGAGTCTGGCTCTGTGTCGTTGAACGTTCAGGGCCACAACGTTACGCTGCGTTGCACAGGTGTGCTGGCTCTATCCATCAGTGTCCCGCAACCTGGCAGGCAGAGCAATGTTCAACATAGCACTGCTGTGATGGATCTACTGCTCAAACCCTCACACTGTGTTCACACAGGCCTGCCAGGCTAGCTCTGACCATGACCCCTTTAGAAGTAACACACATCCTCTGGTCCAGAGGGAGAGAATGGGTGTCATGCAATATCCAGAGTTACAAGAGCCGATTTGCGAAAAGGAACTTAACGGAACAAAAGACGGAGATAAAGACGTACTTATCCCACACATAGTGGGACAATAACATTTTTATCCACCACCCACTATGGCTCATGGATATCTTAATAAATGCTTTTGTTTCCTGATTGCTCAAATATTACAAGAAGATCGGACCTGAAGCTTTACTCTGGATCTGCTTTATTCTGTAGAGTTTGAAGCACTTTTTTTTTTTTTTTTTTTTGGTCAACTCAATGTCATTATCCGGCCTGACAAATCAATTGTAAAAAAAAAAAAAAAAAAATGCCTGCCAAGAATGATTATTCATACTCTGGAGAGTAATAATGTTTTTCCCAGATGTTGTGGTTCTCTTCCCTTCCTCCCCCTTTTCTTTTCTTCAGTATCTGCTGACCAGCTTGCGAGCTACTGCTAATCAAATGATGAATAACTGACCCCTTGATATTGCCCACCCCTCCTCTGGCAGGCACAGCTGAATGAATGCCTACCTTGACCTCCACGTGGGCCATGAGCACTGCAAAGCTGGTGAGGTGGGTGCAGGAGCAGCTGGTGTGTGTGCGATTGGTAGCCAGCAGACGACAGTCCTGCGTCGACCAGAATCCCGTCATGGTGCGTTTGGAGTAGCTCCAGAATGAACAGTTGGGATTGAAATTCTTTTCTGAATGCTGGAGGAAGAGAGGGGGAGAGATAGTGATCGAGAGAAACCCAGACAGACAAGAGGAAAATTGAGAGACCAAAAAAAAAAAAGGCCGGGCGGGGGAGCAGGAAGACAGAGAATAGATACTTGGTGGTGGGGAGGTGGGAGGTAGAAACATGGAGTGGTTGGAAGAGCCAAAAAAAAGTGAGAAAATGGTGGGAGGAATTGGTGGAAAAAAAGGAGGGAGAGGAAGAAACACAGAGAGGGAGTCAAACACACACAACAACAAAACAACAAACAGAAGGGACAGAATGCGAGAATGCAGCAACAAATAAACATAGAGCCATGGCAGGAGGTGACAGTGCTGCGTCCGTGCTTGTTGTGTGAGATTCTGGAGTGTAGGAGCTGCTTGTGTTGTGTAAACTGATGAAACTGTGTGTGTTGGGTTTGTAAAGTTACTCTCAAAAAGAGCAAAGTGAAACAGTGAGGATTCTTTGACTGCCAACAAGCTGGATCACCAACTGGATAAGCATTTGCTAGTTGGATGAGCAACATAAAATAAAATTGTGGTGCTGACCATCCCGATTCATACATTTTGAAGCAATGCGGAATTCAGTCTGTAATTAATACTAATGACAGAGCTGCTCTTATGTAATTTCGAGCTCAGCAAAGTCAGATGAGCCAAGTTTTGTCAAAAGCAGTTCACGATTTTCAAAAGGAAATTGCAAGACAGTTGTAAGACTTTCAGATCTTCAAACACTGACCATAAATGACACTGAATTTTAACAGTTTCTTTTCAAAACTGTGACCAAGAACTTTCAACACTGAGGCACAATAACTGAATATTCAGGCTGGTACTAAATCAAAAGAAGACTAGTATTTTCTCTTTTTCTCTTTAAGTCCTGAGTTAAGTCAGATCACCACTAAGGAAAGTCAGCTGCAGTTGAGATCAAATCAAGGCTTCCTTTTGTGATTTAAGTTGATTCATATTTAAGTTTCAAGTCTTGTGCCGGCAGCTCTGGTTACTACCACTAATGCTGTTATTTACAACTGCTATTGTAAGAAATCAGGTGAACAAATCTCAAGAAAAGACCAACAATGTCTGTGTTAGGTCCTTTCAGGCCACCCTACTTGTCCAAGACAACACTTTCTAAAACAAGTCACATGGTTTCCTTTTTTCTTTTTCTTTTCTTTTGAAACACAATTAATTTCTATAACAGTTAGCACTGCAAGTTTTAGTAAACATATTCAAGCAGGATTAAATGTTTCATTTTCTGATAACTATTTCCAGGTGTGGATTCACACATTGGTGCTCTAGTAAGTGATTACAGCATCAGATTAATACATATGGAATCAAAACAAACTGCAGTGCTCTTGTTCATTCTAATAAAAGAGCATGTTTTGTTTTTGGACAACGGTGGACTTCTATGATATGAAAAAAATGTAAAGCTTTGGCTACAAAGACAATACTTGTCAGTCGGTTCTATTCGTTGTTGGTGTTAGGATTTTATCAAATTCGCTGCCGTAAGGGAAATATCAAATATATCACCGTACTTTTTATTTTACATATGCTTCTTTGCCATTATCTCACAGCAGTGAGTGCAGCCATTTGCTTTATTGTTTGCAAAAAGAAGGCATCAGCTTGCACCTTACGTACCTGCAGGTGTTTGACAGTGAAGACCACAGGCTCCGACAGGTACACCTTATTGCTCTCCTTGTTAATGGATGCTGTGATGACTGGGGAGTTGACGATAACAGAGTAATTAGGATAGACCGCCTCGCTGCTCAGTCTGACGCTGGCGTTCTCTGTGGACAGGTAGGAGCCCAGGTTCCTGTACAGGACAAACGCCATCCTGATCTCACCTGTAAGGAGACATATGGGAAAGGTGCACTTGATACTTGTCGGCTTAAACCATGATGACAGGAATAGACTGGTGGATGTGAGAGGAAGGCTAGTGAAAGCATTTGGGGAACGAAACACCGTGAGTGGGTTAGACAGGGAGAAAGAGAGAAAGAGAGAGAGAGAGAGATAGGGAGAGAGGGAGGGGTCAAGGACCTCAGAGTGAGAGCAAGAGTGAGAGAGTATGTGAGATTTCTCTTCTACCGTTTCTGCCGTGCTGTTTGAGAGTGCTGGCTGACAGCTGGATGGAGTTTCCATGTTGTTCTGACTGGGGGAATGTCAGGTCTGCAAGGTTCCCATCCGTGCTCAGCCTGGCTACTTCCAGCTCTGAAACACACACGAACACACACACACACACACACACACACACACACACACACAGATAGAGGCCCCATAACGTCAAGTCGTAGCATAGCACGTAACATCAGATTTGTTTTCTCTTGTAATAACCCTGTTTTCTCACTAAGTGCTTCACAGCTAAACCTGAGCACGAATCTGGAAGCAGTTTCTCGTTTCTCCTTAACACACACAAAATAAATAAATAAATAAAATAAAAGCTGACACGCATCAAAGTGAACTGATGTGAATTTTTATACTCAAAAAGGTTACAATGTCTCCAGGCAACAGCTCCAACATGCCGAGGTAGATTATCCAGCCTCTCTTATATTGTGGGAATCTAATTTCACCATCCAGGTTCGTTAGCACATTCCCGATTACGGCCGTGTAATGTGTTAGATAAAGTTTCTAATTAAGGTCTAATTATACCTTTGGTGTAGCGCTATCTTGTGATTCTGAGTGATTTGGTGATTTAGACTGCTGCTTTCATGGTGAAAACAACTCCCTGATCAAATAAACAGCACAAGGACAAGTGAGATGGAAATGAGAGTGGAAGAAGAGGTAGAGTGGGGTGAGAGGTGGGAAAGAAAAAGAAGCTGAGGAGGTCAGGGAGAAGTACTGGGAAGAGGTAATAAAAAAAAAAAAGGGTAGTCAGAGGAGATGGAAATGGAAAGAAGACTCTGTTCTCAGCACAATAGACATGGCTCAGAGGCAAGAGATGCTAAGGTATAGGAGAGAGGAAATGGAGGCAGAGAGAGGCAGGCAGACGTAAACACGGATATTGATATGCAAATACTGGCAGCAAGAAAGAGAAACGCTGGTTAAGTGTCCCTCGCTTGCACACGAGCCAAACTAAACATTCAAGCGATGCATACGCGCGCACACGCATACATCGAGACAGCGACCCATGCACACATGTACAGACACATCCACACCCACACGCATCGGCGGGGTATCAAAACACGCTGAGTCTAATCTAATTAAAGCATCCTTGTCATGACAATCCTCCTCCTAAGAAACACACTTGTTCATTATCGTTATCACACACACACGCTGTTACCACTGTGTTATCCCTCCAAATCACTGTTTTGGTTCTAATAATAACAACACCATTTATTCATCTGCCTAATACTGAGCATCACAGTCGCACACACAATCTAACACAATAATATCACTTACAGTAGCTGCAGTGTCTTGTTTAAAATGCGTCAAATGTGTCAAATAATTTATTCTTGTCACTCACTCTTGTCTGAAAAATGAAAGAGGAAGGGAGGAAAAAAAAGGAGGGGGGCTTAAAAAAATGCAAGGAAGAGCATAGAGAGGGAGGAATCTGAGATAGATAGAGAGAGAGAGAGAGAGAGAGAGAGAGAGAAGTAAGGATGGAAGAGGAGAAAGAGAGAGATGACAGGCTGTATGGGGCCGGTTATGAATAAAGTGGAGAGATAATCACAGTGGATCTGCCCACTGGATTAGCTGGGAGGGAAGATTAACGGCACAAAAAGAAGAGGAATGTGGAGACAAAATTTTCCACAAAAAAGACGACTTCCTGTTTTAAGTTCCTCAGAGATGCAGTAGCCTACATCTCCAAGACTGTTTATGTAACCACGTTTATGCGGTGCGCTCAGGATGAGGGAAAAAAAAAAGAAAAAAAAAAAGAAAACTTGGAGGAGATACAAGTCTGAAATTATGTAAGGTGAAATTGTGTAGGATGTTGGTTTGCCGGAATGAACTGTTTAACTTAATCAAGAACACGACAAAGTCATGCTTTCGGGGCTGACTCGGTGGAATCTTATCTGTCTATACTGTCTGTCGTGAATAGCCAAAAAACGCTGTCACATCGTCGCCACGCTGTGTAACTTAAATAGCCATAATTTAGTTGCTCACTGATGTAAAAGTGAGCAAAAAAAAAAAAAAAACCCTCAGAGCATCCTTTGACATTCCACCATCATCACCCTCAAGCATGCACTCATCCAGTCTTCTTCTTTACTTCTCATCTTCAGTTTTCTCTGCTTTCCTGCCCCTCCTCCACGGCTTTTCATCTCTGACTGAGTAACATACAAGCCCAGTGAATCCTACTAATGGGGGAATGATGTGGAGGAAATTTTGAAATAACAAATCAAAAGGGGAGTAAACAGGAGGATAACCAAAGGGAAACATAAGCGAGCGCATCTCACTGGTCTGGGTGCAGATGAGATGATGGCTCACAGAAATATCATCATCTAAAGGCATGAAAAAGCAAAAACAAAAAAGGGATTTTTATTTTTTATTTTTTTTCTCTCCAGTCAAACTCCTTCTCTCCATAGCCCAGCGATGAGATGATCAGTGAGAAAAGATCAGGAAATGACGGAAAAGAGGAGAAAAAGAGAGGAGGAAAGTGATGTGCACAACGCCATAATAACTAGATTTGTTCTGCTTTGTCAATTCCGCCTACAAGTGGAGGGAAGAAAATATGGGAAAATAAATAAATAAAAATTATTGTCTCTGGCAAACAATTCGTGTCTTCCTCAAGGCCAATATGTTTCCTGGATTTTTGCTAGATGAGGATCTCTGTGGATTTGATGCTTTAGAATTGCTCGCACAACAACCTGGATGTCTTCATCCTGACCTTCCTATGACAGCTTTACACACCTACTACTCTGCTACATAATGAAGCAGGCATGCAAAGCTGTAAAACGTCTATTTAACAAGTCAGTATGTGGATGCTAGCAAATGGTAATCATAACTTTAATGTGTAGTTGAGATATCTTTTTTTGTGTTTCTATGTTACAGGACATTTAGGAGCACAATGCGATTAAAGATATCAATTTTATACACATTTGTGTCGAAATGTAATACTAATAAATCAATATTGTGTGTATACACAATATACTGAGTAACAAGTAGTAAGTATAGTAGCAGAGGGATCAGTCATATTGCATTTTAGTATAAAGATGTCATCGAATAGCTAAGTAATGCATTTGCACTCAGCATCACAATTCTGATAGAAAATTGTTCTTTCAGTATTCATTTTTTAGAGTAGATGCTATTGTGTAATGCTGTGCAAAATAAACAGTCAATGTTGTTACATCTACAAAAAAATAAAAATAAAAATGCTGGCTATGTTCAAAACTGTGATTTTAAAAATGAGAAGTTTGTCTGTATACGACATGTATACCTACAACATCCCTTTAAAGTCTTTTGCCGATCAGTTTGTGTTCTATACATTCATTCACACACATTTATTAGTTTGGCAGAATTAATTAACCAGTATTGCACTCAAATTGTCAAAGATTTAACTTAAAAATGTAGAAGTCAGTCTCAAAGTTCTTGTCATAAAATACGTCTGAAGAAAAACTTTATGACAGCCACAGTACAACATTATAACACTGGTGGACATTTTTTTTTTTTCACAAGCCTCTTATATATTTTACCTTTACAGATTTTGCAGCTGCAGAGTGTAATAGATATGCTTTGTATGTTTATTGACTATGCAAATACGCTATGTTATTTTATTACCGGCAACCTCATAGGATTGTTTTGTTCTGCCCTTTGCAGAATAATAATTAGATCGTCATTAGACAATTATTTTTCCTACGACTACTGCTAGCATTGCTGTTCACCTTGCAGCTCGGCTTCATGTGCAAAAACTCTGGCATATGTTCACGTGATATTTTCTCTCAGCTCTCTGAGCAATGAAACAATGGCATTGTTCTGCCCCATTTCCATTTATGTCCGCCGCTGTTCATTCATACGTGTGTGTGTGTGTGTGTGTGCGTGTGTAATATCGCACACATGAAGGATGATGTTATTTTTTGACACACAGTGAAGTTAGATTGTATAGTTTGTTTCTCGTTTGTAATATAAAACATAGATCTGAGGCGGCGGATTTAGTAATGCCTGCTGTCAATGCTGCCTCTTACTACGATATTTCATCATATTCTTAGATCTTTAGCAGCCAGAGCTAGTTTACGTTAAAAGATCTGTAAAAGAAAAAAATAAAAGAAAAAAAATAGAAAACTGTGAAATCTAAGAACTCCATTTCTGCCAAAATAAAGGTATAGTCTGGAAAGTCTTTCTGTTATTACTTTGAATTCAGGTAAAGACAAATAAGCGGAGAACTGCTTTTATTTGGGATGTGGCCGGTGCAGCTACAGTCTTCAACTCTCGGCCACTGTTCTGATCCACTGTAGCAAATGGAGGTTAAGTGCCTTGCTCGAGGGCATCTCAACAGGCTCCTTGACAGCTGCAAGGTCCGGCCGAGTTTTGAGGGTGGGAAAGGAACCTTAAAAAAACTGTACTCACGGATGTAGTCAGTGGTCTCCTGCACCGTGTCAGTCTTCAGGAGGTTGTCAGCTAACATAAAAGCCCCAGTCTCCACGGTGTCAAGGAGCAGAGTAGCCGAGTGCAGCTGCTCGCTGGTGGGCAGCTCTCTCCATGCTGTCTGGGCCCGTGGATGCAGCAAATTATTCACCGTCTCCACCATCGCCTGGGGCAGCAGCACAGACACAGAGGTCAGACGGAGGAAGCCAATGCTAAGGCCTTTATCATTTTCAGTCAATGATGCTTATGTGAAAATTAATGCAAATCCATTCATAATACAAATAAGATTGCAACACCCTAACTGGTGACGACAGCAGTCGGTGGGATGCAACAGTGAGAATGTGGTGGCTTCTCATTTATCATGTTGATAAATCATGACAATCAAAGCAAAAAAAAATAAAAAATGTTAGCGATGCAAATGCAGCATTCCCATGCAGACACAAAGGCAAAGACACAAAAGCAATTAAATAAAAAGCGTATCTTCAAAAGTCACTTTTTAATGTTCATTATCACCTTTCGTTTTTCAACGTTCTCTTCATATGAGGATGTTGTGATAGAAAATCCATCACAGATGCTCTGAAAATCAAGCTAAGCTAATTAGCTGATTGCAATCACCATGTGTCTACACCCCCAAACCTGGTTCAGTTCACTTTTTTTTTTTTTTTGAAAGGAACAGTCTTATCTTTGAGCTGGAAAACTTGAGGGTCTGAGAAGAAATTAGAGTTTTATCAGATAATGTCTGCTGGGTCATATCCAGCCGTGCAGAAACAGTTTTGAATCCAAAAATACTGCCAAATTAAACAGAGCAGAGTTGGCTCACATAGATGAAATGCTCTCCATGAAACAATACTTATTTTGTCTCCCGCACACATTCCTTTATACTCTTAAGAATTCACCTCCTCGTTTTCCGACATGAACACCACACACACGCAGACGCACACATCTTAAAAGACCCTGGGAGAGATAAAGAGGCAGAGAGAAAAAGAGAGCTGGTGCAAGAGGGGGGCGAGGAGGAGGAGGAGGAGGAGGAAGGAGGAGAGAGCCATGGGAGAGCGATAAAACAGTCCAGTGAGTCCATGGTGACAGGCGTCCACTGGGAACAAGAGAGGCGGAAAAGCGAATACAGGTGCTATCAAACACACACATCTCGCACTCCCGTCTGTCTCTTTATTTTCTCTTTCTCTTGCTCTGTAAACCACCCTTTTCTGCAAACACACTCCTATCCTTCACTCATCTCTCACTCTTTCAGTGTTGCTCTCTCCAGAGGAGGGCGGATGGGAAAGTGGAAAAAAGTAACACAGGTGCCATTATACAAGCAAAGGGGGTCTCCAGTGGGGAATTGCAAGGGCAAGGAGGAAGAGCGAGAGACATCAGTTTATTGGCGTTCACACATCCACCATTTGACTTTGTCTTTGTCCCCTTTGCTCAGGGCTAAGGAGAAGCAAGAGACCAGAAGAGGAGGAGGGAAGAAAGCAGAAGTAAACAGTCTACGCTGTGAGCGGCGGATAGGGAAAAGCATACAGAAACGCTGCAGATCATGACTCATGTGAGCGCGGAGGGCTTGAGCCGCGAAACATGCAAGTTGGCCTTCGGAATTAGAGCTAATCCCACCTGTTTGTTTTGCGGCCGCAATTTCCACACGCAGATACAGTATCACACACATGAAATTGGTGCTTAGCCAACGAGCTAATATGATAATGTTATGTCCTCTTTTAGCACTAGCAGCTAATTAGCTGGGATGCATATTGAATGAGTTTGGGAGGGCTACATGTAAACAAAAACTAATTAATCCACTGCTTCTGCAAACAACCAGAATAAGCAGGAGTGGATGTGAAATGCGCGCGTTCATGCACATACGTCCACATATTTACATACATACAACTGCAAACCTGTTTCTGTCGTCACTGATTCAATAATGTGAATGAAAACTATAAGCTTCAATACCCCTTAAAGGCAGCTTCTGATAGAAAGCAGAATCAATGGTGTTTTTTTTTTTTTTTTTTTTTAAAGTCCATCAGTAGTATCAGTAATCAAACGTTCACACAAAGTGCTGAAAATTGGGAACACAACAAGTTAGATGGACAAGAAACACAAGTGGTCAGACAAATGAGCGGTTGTAAACAAGCCAGTGCTGAAACAATTAATTAAGAAAAATGTATCAGCTACTATTTTCATGATCAATTAATTATCAGAGTAAGTTTTTGAGCAAAAATGTCAAATACTGTTCAGCTTCTCAAAAGTGAGATTTTTTTTCCTTTTTGCCTGCTATAATAATAATAATAATTTTTAAAAAATACTTCTTTGTAAGTATAATGGGCATCTTTCACACTTGTACACTTTTCTGAGATCTCATATTGATTAAATATTAAAAGATTATATGTAGTTGGATTATATGTGTACTTGGAAGTAAAAAAAAAAAACAAAAAACATTTGCAGCTGTGAAACAAGCCAACAAATGTCTCAGGGCTGCAAAAATGATCTGCAACTGTCAACTGAAATTGAGCATATCCAAAACAATGGTAGTAATCCTGGGATACTATGCACATGGCTTACATTAAGCACCACAGGTCAAAGCTGAACCAGGAGATCAGCATGCTACTGGATGGTAGCTTTTTTTTTTTTTTTTTTTAAAGAAATAACTGTAATGATTTATGTGTCTGCTTTTGGTTTCTTAAGTTCAGTGACTCATGCTGCTAGCAATCTGACTTCTCTGTAAGAATAAACTAACTGAGGACAAAGTTAATATCACTCATAAGAATTTCAAACAATTTCAGCTAAAGTCTTTATATAATGGGAATATAAGGATTCAGAAGCTGTTTCTGACGTTTCTGATGCCATACATACATGGTGCGGGTGCATGTCAAAGTATGTTTGTGGCACATACTGAAAGGGATTGAGATGCCTGTGTGCTTGTATGTGTGTTGGCGCTCCTGTGTGTGTGTGTGTGTGTGTAGTTGGGGGTGTGCACAAGGGGCTGGAAGAAGCATCGTAGTGCATCATTCTGCTCCACTTGCTGTACAGTAGCGGTCCAGGCAACAGAGAGAGACAGAGGAGAGGATGTTCTGTAGGCACAGCAGATATGAGAGCAGTAGCCCTGCTTTCTATTCGCTCATGCTGCTGGTGCTGCTCCCAAACGCTCACTTTGATGTGCTTCAGATAACCCCGTTTTTCTACTCTCATTAAACTTTCCATTGCTTTTTATTGAACTTTTGATTATCTAGCATTTTCAATTTCATATAATTTTTTTTCATTGAAATTTAATTCACTGGCACCGAGATTACATCTATGGAGGACAGAGATAGGTAAGAAGAAGAAGGGGTGTGATTTCCTTGAGGTCCAGACATCTCCACATCAGAGATGAAATATATGTGTTTGCGGGTGTGGGTGTGTGTGTGCTTGGGTGGGTGGGTGTGCCTGTAAGCTCTGGTGCCGTTGGTGACATTTCTATCCGCACAAGTATGAGGACTTGAGGGCTAAAATAGAGACAGGTTTTTTTAGGGGTCTTCAAAGAGGGGAGAGACTCTGCAGAGACAGATAAGGCTGTCGTTTGTGTGTGTGTGAGTTAGGAACTGTGTGTGTGTGTGTGTGTGTGTGTGTGTGTGTGTGTGTGTGTGTGTGTGTGTGTGTTGAAGTGACACTATGTATTGCAGGGCAGGCATGCACATGTGTGCGCACATACACGCAGCATGCATGCGCATACACGCATACACACACCAGTAAATGGGGCAGAAGCGAAATGCTTTGAAGCGTTGGGGTAATCCAGCGTAAACAGCAGCAGCAAGACAGACTAGAGCTGGGCTGGTCTACGACTCCCAGCTACACAAGGGGAAGACTGGCACACGCTCGAGCACGTGCATGGACGTACAGTATGTGTACACTCGCGCACAGTAACGTGTAAAATGACAGAGTTAGGATGTTAGAAGGACGGAAAAGGAGGCGAGAGTAGAGGAAAGAAAGGAGTTTTTTTTTTTTTTTTCTCCTTTACTCGCTTGGCTGAGCTCTGAGAAAGTGCATGTTTTGAAAATGTTTTCATCAGAGGAGCAGGCTTATCTTTCAGTTGTTGTTGGAGTTTGTCTTCCCTGACAGGATGAGTTTGCAGCTAAATCAGGCTTTAAATTCACAGCATGCCATGTTCTGACCTGCCATCCATAAATAGAGGGCAAATTAGACATTGTCATTGAGCATCACTGTCTCCTCACTGCCCCCTTTATTGTTTCTCTCTTTCTCTTGCATTCCATTTCTGTTTCTGTAACTCTGCTCTTTTTCCTGCTCAATTTCGGGTCCCTCCTTCCCCGTCTCTCTTTCTGCGTCTACCTTGCAGACTCTACCTCCCTCCATCAATCCACCCTAAAGCATCAAAGCCTCTCCACACCACCAACTTCATCATGAATAAATTGCCAATTTAGTATACATGAAACGAGTCCCCAGCTCCCCAAACGAAGTGAGAGAGGAGGAGAGATGAAGTGTGAGAGGGAGAGAGGAAGAGAGAGAGAGAGAAAAGGAGAGAGAGAATTCAATTATTTTTTGTCTCTATTAAGAACCCAAACCTCCTGCCCACTCTCCTCACTTGGCAATTAGTGCTGTAGATAATTAACGAGGAGAGGGCAGCACCACACCACATCCCTAATCACGCACATTTCTATCTGGCAGAGTAAGGGACTGTTGGTATAATTTTGTTTCACATTACTAAGGCTAATTATATAATCGATCACTCCCAACCCCCTGCAGTACTCAAGGTGTGTGGTGAAACATTTTGATTTGAACCTGTAACTAGCTGTCTAGATGCAGTCGCGCTTTGAAACGCGGGCGTTTACTGGATTGAGGAAATGCATCAAATTGTCCGACTGTCCTGATGTGACAGCATAAGATCATTGTTGAAAATATATTTATATATTTGTGGCGTGTGTGCGCATGTGTGTGTCAGCTTGCATATAGTCCTAAGCCATGTTCTATGATGTGACATTGCTGACTGGTGCTGACGTTAAGACTTTTCAGGGGAGAGTGGAAAAAAAAAGCCTGCATCAGGAGAAAAAGAGCTACCCCATCAAGTGTGTGTGTGTGTGTGTGTATGTGTGTGTGTGTCTGATGAGGGGGGGTGCAGACGGAGAAAACGCGAGACTCCGCAATCTATCTACAGCACGTGGGTGAGGAAGGTGGGGTCCTTCCATGTTATGAATTGTGATTTTAGCTGACCAGAAACATGCCTAAATGATGTCAGGGTTTTCTGTTAGCGGCGCAAGCCCGTGGCGTCAACACAAACAAACATCAATACGAGCAGACCAACAAGGACGAAAAATAAATTAATGCCACGAACACAAGCTGGTATTGTTTTTAAGGCACTGAGGCCGTGATCAAGCAATATGCAAGAGAATATCCATCATACTCAGTTCTTTCTCTCTGATACAGCAGCAGAGAGGGCATTTCATTGAATGGAGATGGATAGCGAGTCATTTGGTTTCAGGCAGGCCTGTTTACAATTCTGCAGACAGAACTGCGAAATAGATGAGCTATTATTGATATTGATCATGGTCTCTTATCAGCACTATTGATTCTGAATACAAAAAAAAAAAAGAAAAGAAAGTGAAATTGAAAACAAAAGAATGTCAGCAAACCCATTGAGGAGACTAAAAACTTTGTTAGGAGACACCAGTGGGGAGTATCCAGTGATGCTGATGCCCACAGTGGATCAGGGCCAGAACGCTAAATGACGGCCCTCCTCAAAGGGTTGCAAAGCTGTAACACAACTGCTGCAAGCATAGAATTAGAATTCTATGTATATCGTTATAATGTGTGATCACACACACAAATGAGCTTGCTTGCTGGGCAGACTACATGCTGAGAGTAAAACAACAACAACGTCAAAAAAAAAAAAAAACATGTGGAACTATGGCGTGGCAGAATTAGCAACCATACCAGAAAGCGGAAATACCTGTGTGAAAAACCTGCAGGACCTTTCTCTCTTCTGAAGCTGCGAATTCAAACAATTGAGCTGTTAGCGATATTACACCTCTCAATCACACACACGCAAAGTCAGCTACACCCACTTCATTAGCATCGTGCAAAAAAAGACTCACCTCCTTTTATAATTCCTTCAAACGTAATTGTCTTTTTTGTCATTTTCTCTTCTTCTTTTTGTTTTTTTCTTTCTTGTCTCAATAATTTGCTTTGTTTCTCTGTTCCTTGTTTTACTCATTCTCTGCATCTACTGTCAAGTGAATTGATGGCATTAATTACTATGCCACTCGTGCGTGATTGGTCATATTCGATTTCCTAACAGAAATTAGCATAATAAGCTGGTATATTACTCAATTAGATGTATATAATTGGGCCATTATTGAAATCAGGAAGAACACTTTTCCATTTCTATTGAGGGCATTTTTTTTCTTCTACAAATTCAACCTTTAATAGGCCATTTGGTCAACAGCAAAACACAGATTAATTGATTCCTCTTACACATGCTCCATTTATGTATTCACTTCACACACTGAATTACTTAGAAGGAGCAGAGGAGATGTAAAGTGTGTGATAGTGAGACAAAAAGAGGGAAATTGGAGGATTAAAAATAAAACGGACCAAGGGAATCGGATGCTAAAGCTACATTAAAAAAAGAAAAGAAAAAGACAGCGACTGTTTAAGAGGTGGCAGCAGCTGTCAATCTAACTGTTCAACCCCACCTATCACCACTGTTGACCCTGAGCAGACACAATCAAGAAGCAGACCGTCATCCAGTCCGTCAATTAGCAAGCCAAGCCAGCCAGTCAGCCGTTCTACTGTGATTTAACTCACTTTAATTGTATGCCTGCATGAACAAAGTACAGAACTAAATTCTTTTCTTATCTACTGCTGTAGTAAAACAGATCCTTTGCATACTCAGTATCGAGTTTCCATTAATGTAATCCTGAGGTAAGCACTCAAGCCTGATTGTCAACAGCATCTTCATAGCTGTAGCTCAAAGACTGAAGTTCATTAAAACAATGAGCTATGACGTAAAATGTGTCCCAAGACTGTACTGTATGTTTTAATGAGAATAACTCCCATGCTTAGACAAAAGTTCTATTCAATTTCGGCCCTGATCTGAAAAGAGTAAAGGAACCCTGCCAAAGACTAAAAGCAGTTATCTATCACTCATAATGTTGAGTAAAACTTGTTACAAAGAAGCACACAGACTAGAGGATGAAATAATATCTAAAAGCAGCTATTTATCAACTGGAAGTCTACATTGTTGTGCGTAGTTCTTCATCAAATTCTGCACACAGACTTTTCTAACCCTTGAGAATGAGTGGAAGACAAAAACACAAACCGCTGATGCTACTCATCTTACTGTTCGCTTGAAAGAGTCCTTCTATCTGTTCCCTTCGCTCTCCCTCATCCCACTTTCTGCTAATTTTCTGTCATTTAAATTGCAGAAACCTCTCCGAAGCAGTTCTTGCAAGAACATTTTTCTATCTCACACACTCCGCTCGTTTTTACATTCATCTCCTGTTTCTTGAGCCGATACCTTAGTGAGGCTGCGAGCAGCGCTGTCCTTGCCCCCGGGGGTGAGGTTCCTGAGCTGGACGTCCAGCAGTTCGACCAGCTGGGCCATGGCCCGCACTGTGGATGGCACGTCGCCAGGGCGCAGGAGCCCTTTGGTCTGCTCTGCCAGCTCCCTGGCCACAATCGCTGCCGTCTCACCCGACCGAAGCTGCGAACCAAAGAGGATGACAGGGGGAGGACGGAGGCAAAAATAAAAAAAAAAAGTGAAGGGAAGAAAGAGATGGATGGCAGTAAGAAAAAAAAAGTCAGATGAGGTGAGAAGTGAAGGGAAAGTTGGAGAAAGGAGAAAAAGTTGGTGAGAGCATGAAGGGGAAAACAGTGAAAGAGACAAGAAATGACAGATGGAGAAATGACAGGACAGAAGAGGAAGGACAGACAGGTGGAGGACAGAGGAGGTAAGAAATGTAAATATGAAGGATTGGAGGTGAAAAATGTGAAGGCATAGAGAGAGAAGAATTTTGAATTTGTGACACCAGGTTAGGTTAATGTTCCAGAGCGTTCAGCATTGTGTGCCAAGAAACTTCTAAGTGTTATCATAAGGACATTAAAAACTACTTTACAGAAACAACTCCAGCTTTAGCACCTCAGCTGCTGTGCTGATTTCTCTGGGACCATTTTCCATAGTTTGCCTTGTAAAAAAAACCCCAAAAAACAACAACAACCTAAAAACCTTAAGGCTCATGGCTCAAGTTATGATAACAGGGGCAGCACTATCCAGAACAAAAGCATCCGAAAAAAAAATCAAACAAAGATTTCCATGCAAAAGTGATTGCTGTATGCAAATGAGTCTATCATACTGTTTGTTAGCCTATTATGATGAGAACACAGTGTGAGTAATAGCCTTACTGGACATTTCCACTTCCCTTCAGCTACATATTATCTCTCAGATCTCAAGTCCAGAGTTATGGTTAACAAATGAAGATGGATACATGGCCTAAATCGCTCCCTGTGGCCAGTGCTTCTTCGTGCGTGAGAGAAGTTGCTCGAGGACTATATTCATAACACATACCCTTAATCTGGGGCTCAATGGGAGCCACAAGGGCCAGCAGCAGCAATCAGACTTACTTTCTGCATGATGTGGTTGACCCAAGGCGACGTGCAGTTGCTGAGGTCAGGGCCTTGGGGATCCCAATAGCCCAAATGGGCCATGCACACGTATGTAGCCACGCCTGCGTGACAAGCAAAGCAAACAGGGTAAGACAGGCCTGACATTCACCAGGAGACACGAAGACTCCTGAGGTGCCCGAGGTTCACTAAGCGCTTTGTGCTTGCAGTGTTTGCCTGTGCGACGACGGTAGCTGGAGGAGGATTGAGAAATCTTCTCTGTCATGTGAGCTAATTGATTAAAACGGCAGAGTTTGTCCTGAGGAAGTGTGTGTGTTGTGGAATGTTGTACTGCTAGTCCACGACATTGTCAAAGGGAAAGATAAATGCTTTACTTTGTACCTGTCTCCATCCTACCTTCAACATCCATCGCTCTTACACTCTTAATTATGTATTTAGGTTTTAAATGTGCTCTATAATGTACTTTGTTCAGTGTTCACTGAGTTGAAATGTGTTATGTATATATACTGATCTAATTTTATCTAATAGATGTAGCAGGTAGTTACTTGAAGGATGAGAGTTCATGTATCAACATGTAGTTCAGAAATTTCACACACTATTTGTGGTACATACAAGCCTAATATACTTCAATATTCAACTAAAACGATCACCATAAAGGGATTGAGTTCTATATTTAATTGCAGTGTTGGTATTTCTTTTTGAAAATGCTTGAACTTCTATAACATTTTGCTACCAGTTTTACAAAAAAAAAAGGAAAAAGGCTAAACAAGCAGACACACAAAATAATGTACGCATGTGGAACAAAGTTTTCACACATACTCCGCCGTTATAATCACTGTTATTTATCTACCTATGCAGCCTTCTTACCCAGTGTTCCTACAGGGCAGGGCTGTTTGGCTGTCTGGCCTTGCTGTGTCTGGGGCCACGATATGTCGGCCATCACTCGTGGACTGCAGAAGTCTTGGGGAGGCAGGGCAGGGGGCTGCGGGGCCGCCGGAGGGACTTGCACCGGAGGGGATCTTCCCCCGGCTTTCTGATTGGTGTCAGGTATCTGATTGGTGTCGGACGACGAACCTCCGGCAGGAACCAGGATGGGCTGGCGGACTGTGGTGGTTGTGCGGTACCTCTGTCCAGGCGAGGTGGTGAGGAGAGGCCTCGGTGTGGTGTAGTAGGGAGGAGAACGCGTGGTGGTTGCCCGGCTAGTGGACGAAGAGGAGGAACCGCCTCCCCCACCGATCGGACCCCCTCCCACGCCTCCTCGGTTGGGGGGGATCATGGGAGGTGGACGATAATCTGGCGAGAAAGAAAGAAGAGACGGTTTAAATTCACAAAACCGAGGAGCCTGAGTTCTTAAATGAGGAGCCAGAAACCAAAATGTGTTGTGCAGATTTTGCAGAGCCTGACATGATTGAAGTGCAGATGTGTTTATGAGCTCTGGCTGCGAGGACACGAGTTCAAAGTTTAGTCTGAGGACAAAAAAAGTATGAACAGTAAAGTTAAAAGAACTGGGATAAAGCAAACCATCTGCATTAACACCAAGTTATGTGAGCAACGGCCTACAAGCATAAATAATATGGTGACAGACACAAACACATTTGCAGGCACTCATTTACACAGCACTAAACAGCTTTGACAGGGAGTAGCTCATGTTTCTGATGACTTCCCAATGTTAGTGTTTCATCCCTTGTCAGTGCAGTCGTATGCCAGGTCTTTTTTGGGTTATTAATTCCTTTCAGGTGCCGGACATTTTGAGAAACAATTCAATCGGCAGCAATTATAACAGAACTACTTGAATATGTGTGATAAAGTTTTTGGGAAGGGGCTTGAAATAATGTCTACACTGAGAATCTCCAAGCAACACCAATGATCTGTTTTCCCTACACAAGTTCACCAGTCCTTCCTATGGGGCTGGCACACAGTAGTGGTTCTCGCTGCCTAACCTGGCAGAAAAAAAAAAAAAAACATTCTTTCAGTGTCGTGCATGATTTATAACACCATGACATCATGAGAGGCAGGAAGGCCACTTAAATGCATATGGCACACTCTTTTATTGTCAATATTTCATTGTAAAAAGGCTCAATTATTCACATTGACCCTGTTCAGGCGACGAAAATAAAGAATGAATGGATGAGTTGATGGGAGAGAGAGAAAGAGAGAGAGAAGTACAGGATGTATTTGTGAAGTGTCAGTGTCCTCTTGTAAGAATATTATACCAGTGGTTCTCACTGCCGCTGCCACGTATGGCGCTACGAATCAATACTGCAGGATTGAAAGCTCAGTAGCAAGAAATGGTTTGAATTGAATTATTTCATTAGTTTTAAATTATTCTAAAGTCATTATGTGCACCGCTGTACACAGGTGAAGCCTGTTCCCTAACTTTGCATCTTCATTGTCACAAAGCACAATAAAGACTGTACAACTGAGTGTTTTTGAATAAATATGTAAATTATACTCAAGAACATTTTTAAGAAATTGTAATTACAGACATCTGTGAATTAACTTTAAACCTATAGAAGAGATTGTGCATTATGTGAACTAGTTTGGCTCCAAGCCACATTTTAAATCCTTTACAAATTTTTATAATTGTGCACCTGGTAGCTTATGTATTCAACCAACACATCGTTATGATGCAAAATCAACGCAGCACTGTCAATACACTTTGCTTGCAGGCCTACACGGCTGATAACAGTGTTCTACCTTCATCTTGCTATTGAAAACCCATTGTATGGGGATATCCTGATATGCATGTAAAGGCAAGGACACAGACGGGGAGAGAAGCAGACGTAAACAGGCAACACACCTAGATAATGAGATTATTCAAATCTGAATTCTCACAATTTTGTGTCATGCTACTTTCACAACAAAGATATACACTTTAAAATCCTTCCTTGTTAAGCAACTGGCTGAAAACTACACAATATACACACATAAGATTTTCCTCTTCTCCGTGGCTTTTTCAACAATGCTCTACAAAACACTCCTTTGAGCTCTTAAAAATTCAGCTATCATTCCCTGTAAGTTGTAGTAGCAAAAGTACGAAGCTGCCTTCTGCAGCTTTAACTCTGCCCCGATGTTAAAATTCTTGATTTCATGATTTTCAGCGTAAAAATGGAAAGCAGAGGCACTTGTGCTTCTCTTGGTGTGCCGCGGGCCGTAATATGTACTACAAGGTGGGCATTAACATTGAAGGGTTACAGAGTTCCCATCTCTCAGTGGAGCTGAATGTTTTATTAGAGAGAGGAATGTAATTGTATGAATTTAACAGCCCAAAAATTAGGTCTCTACACAACTAAACTGCATTCTCAGTTACGCTTTGAGGGAAATGCATTTTCTCTTAGTGTCATTTGTTTGTGAAATATCACAAACACATCTATAACCAACAGTCTTATTGCTTTACAGCTGTAGCTCCTTTCCAGCCAACCAATTACATATTAGATAAGGTGAGATTTGTCAACCAGGAAGAGCTTTAAACATGTCGTAATGGGTGTATTTTATCCCAAATCATGGTATTTTCCTAGTAGTTTTAAGAATTTCTTTCAAAAAGCAGCGTGAGAATTCAGTTTAGTCATAAAGAATTGTCATTTTTAGGGGGACAAAGTTGGAACTGAATCATTTCTCCCTTAAGAAATTGTACAAATTTTTGGTGTACTGGATTTAGTTTTCATACTGTTAAAATATAATCAAAGAAAAACAATGTGCGCTTGATCCAAAGCGACTGCATTTCTGTGAGGTCTGATTTGAGGTGTTTATAAAATTAGTTTCGACTTTCGACAGAGCAGAATGAAGTGTGAGTGAAGTGTGACTGTGTGGGTGGCAGGAACGAGTGGGTGTTTGTATTATTTACTGTGAACCGAAGTCATCCTTTCCGGTGGATTTTTAAGTTTAATTAAAGACACCGTACTTCTCTCCATCTTCCTGTCTCTCTCTCTCTTTTCCCTCCCTCTCTCTCTGTCTGTCTGGTTGACTGACAGCCATGTAGCATCCCACTCCTCCTGTACGTTCTGTTCTCTTCCTCCACAACTCAATGGAGTGTTTCCGTACCTAAACTGTGCTGCTCCCCATTCCTGAATCACTGCCGCCCTGCCTCATGCATTCTCCATGGAACATTGCCATCAATCATGCGTGGCAGCAGTGGCCTAGGGACTAGCTGTCAATCTGAGTGTGTTTGCGCAAGTGTGTGTGTGTGTGTGTGTGCTTGTGAAGCGGGCGAGCCAGTATGTGTGTGCGCGCCTATCAGGACTCAAACGGGAAGCTCCATTAGGGCCTCTGCCACAACAATGGAAGAGTAATGGTGTGTACGTGTGTGTCTGAGGTTGATGTCTGCTGTCATTTGAGTACAGGCCAGAAAACACAGTGGCTGGCAGCTTGGGATGAGGTAACACGAAAGTCTGCAAGCATCACAGTCGAGGGGCCACAGCACTTCACTACCGATGCATCTCTATCTGTCTTCCTTACCTCTGCTCCTCTCGACATTTTCCACGTGATTTTTTTTTACTAACTTACAACGTACTTTCTGACACATTTCTTTTTTACAGTATTCTACTAATTTCAAATTTCATTTTTTCAACACTGTCTTTCACACCTTCTATTTTGTACACCTTTGCTTGCTCTGTTGTAGCATTTTGGTATTTAAAAAAAGGATTTTGTAATGTGATGAATTCATCACTTGCATCACTCAGGATGCTGTGAAAGAGGCTGTAGGGAACTACAGGAACATGACATAACAGGTTCATGAAACATTTATAGGAGAAAAGGGCTAGAGGTTGTACTCGTGGCGGCTGACATATCTCCCCTGTGCTTAAGCTTAGGAAGCCATGAGTAAATGCACTATGACAACTTCATGATGTCAGCTAACCTAAACATTGTGCTCTTTGCCGAACCCGATGCCACAAGAACAAGAAATAAAAAAAAAATACAGTCACGGATTCAGTGCAAGTCAATTGCTTTAAGATTCTGCACTATATTTATGGAAAATGCATCACTCATCACAATACTTGCTTTCACATACTAGGAATTGTATGAAAAACATTCATATTGTCCAAAAGAAATGTAAAATAAAATAGATATTTTATCATCTTATTGCGTTAATTGCAGAGCCGGCATTCCTCCTTTAGAACAGAGTTCTACAGCAGCATTAACTATTCTATTTGAGACTGTGCAATAGCCTTGAAATCCATACTACAGTAAATGTGATTTTTCAGTATTAATTATATCTCAGATTATAACAAATGTAATCATCAGATTGATGGTCAATTAAATAAACTATGAAGAACAGTCCAGTGATGGGACTACATTACACAAAACTTCTCAAATGTATGAAACTGAATCCTCATTTTCAGACTTTAATAATAATTTTCTTGGATTACAGAACTATATATGAATATATGTCTGTAAACAATAACACAATGTGATCATATCATATTATATCAGCACAAAAACCTAGTTTTCTTCTGAGAAAACTTCATTTGACGAGGAAACTTGTGTGATATAAATGGAGGCAAATGATTAGCTACTACTCCGTGTTGTCTTATGTGTGGTTCATTAGGTCAAGATTAACAATTAAATCCCAGCTTTTAAGCAAACACAAAGAAAAATGGCTTGAAAAACTGGAAATCTAGAATTTCATGTCAGCTGGCAAACTGGTGAGGAATGTTCTATTCTATTCTATTCTATTCTATTCTATTCTATTCTATTCTATTCTATTCTATTCTATTCCATCCTGTTTGTTTTCCTGACCTGTAGCGAGCCCAGGGGAAGGTGAGACAATGGCAGGCTGGCAGTAAACTTGTTCCTGAAGTTGTCATCTGTCACCACACTGGAGGGGCCACAGAGATGCTGTCAGTCAGCCTGGGTTGCTTGCACATGATCATCTGACATGCAGACAGACATCGAGCGAGCAAGCGTGTGCACGCGCATGACTGTGTGTGGCAATGTTTTTCTGTGTGGGTAAGACTGCCTGTCTCTGCCTCCGCTCTGTTGCCGAGAATGCTCTTGTTGACTTCTCGCTTGGTAAACAGAGGGATTGTAAATCCATAACACAAAAGGTAGAAGGCAGGGAGGAGAGAGGAGAGGGAAAACCAACTTCCCCTGGCAAGTTTCCCACACCGTCAGAAAATAAAACCAGCAGACAGACAGCCAGAGAGGAGGAAGAGTGAAACAGAAGCAGAGTGAAGAGGGATTTGAATTAAGACAGAAGTTCTCACAGAACTGCGTTGGAGTGTCTATTATACTTCTTAATATGCAAGATGATTACTTCTTGCAGTTTGCTTAAAAGTTACTGCCTCCTTGCATCT